CCAGGATGATATGACCCTTTTGTGGGTATTTATAGAGATCTGGGGGGGGGGGGTTTCCGGCCGTGAAGGCCTTCGACAATCCATTGGCCATTGCCAAATTCTGTGCCAGGGCCTGCAGAATTCACCAGACAATACTTATGTTGATAAAAATTAGGATGCTTACTCCATGTTTTTATTAAAAATCAATGTTTGCTTTGATCAATTATTGCAATAGTAAATTTGATTTGATAGAAACAGCAGTTGATTATAAAAGCTAAAACACAGTAAAAATCAATAAACTTAACTAAATGCTTCCTTAAGGAGCAGCTTTTCACACCATTTAAGAAAGAATTACAGATGGATCACGCAAAGTTGATACATCTATCTAACTGGTGTTAAAACCTATGACTATATGCTGCTTCAAGTAGCTAGGAGATCTAAAGCAGTACTCTTAATGATGACCAGAGCATGTGGGAAGGTTGCTATTTAAGAGATTAATTCTTAAAATATTCAGGTCCTGATCCCCGTAATGCTTTCAAAACCAAACAGCAGCAGTTTGAATTGAGCTGGAAACAAATTTAGTGTAATTGTTAAAATAGATAAAATATGGTCATCCAGTCTTTTGCATCAAATATCAGATTCTTTTCAAGATAAATCCCATATAAAGTGGGATACAATAATCAAATCTGGAAGGAGCTATTTAAAGCTGAGTAACTGTGCAAGGTGTGCCTTTTTCAGGATAGCAACAAGTGGGAAACCAGGTAAAGGTGGAAAAGAGAAAGAATATCAGAACAAAGAGGATCCTGAACTACAAATCTGTTATTTTAGGAATGTAACTCTTCAAAACAAACTGAATACTGACTTAAGTAACTCACCTAACCAACAGTATTTCCATTCTGTCTATATACTTCTGTTCTCTCTCTGAGGTCAGATGAAGTGAAAGAAAGAGCTGGTATCATCTGAATACTATTGATATCAGAGCCCAAATTCCCAAAGACTTCATCCAGCAATTTCATGCAGATGATGAACATATGGAACTTTGTGGAACATCTTAGGATGTTGATTAAGAGAAAACAGTCCCCCCACTCCCCACCCCAGTAGCCTTGTCTATCAGGAATGAATGGAATAGCTTACACAGTACCATCAGCCACCACCCCAGAAATATACAATAGTTGAGGGTACAGAATGCAACTAAAATATTCAGCAAAATCAACAGGGTTCCATTCTTCCAGCTATTTCCAAAGACAAGTCATACTCCAGAAGTACTAAGGCAATTTCTGTGTTAAAACCAGAGCAGAAAAGGATCTAGGCAATCAGTTTTATCCTAAATCTCCAACAAAATATTTGCTCTTGCTTTCTCTTTTGCTAAAAAGAACAAAAATGTACATGGTCCAGCCTGCTTCTAAATACCTGTTTGCTAAAGGATAACCCAGTAGTGGCATCATCATGTTTAAATGATGGTCCATTTCCTGGCAAGGCTGAACCAGGAAATACAGACATTACAGATAAAATTGGGATAGATTCTAGAGGTGAAAGAATACGAAATGGAAATGCATAAAAATGAAGCAGCTTGCAACACCCATTTTAGAAATAATCTTGCACAACTTTTTGTGGCAAATTCGCATATAAAATCTGCTTAATAATTTTATTAAAATATGTAAAATACATAATTTGCTTATGTGTAAACAGATAATGCTTCATTTTCCTTAATATGGTTGATGCTGAAAAGTTTTGGTTCATGATATATCTAGGTTAATTGTTAGAACTAAAATATTACATAATACAGATGAAGTAGTACTATTTTTTTTCTAAATCAGTTTGCGTCTGGTGGGGTCAAGATGCACATTCACTCAGAATATGATTTATGCCAAAAGCAAATTCATTCCCTTCTAGGCTTCCCCCATACCTGAAAGACATGCTCAGCTGGTATTAATGGTCACAACTCTACTCACAGATCATGATCTGAGCTTCCTTAGACTACACTGAAAAATAATTAATCAGCAGGACTGTACCCTGAACATTTTCAACAGTTTTTTCTACGTGCAAATAAACACAATCTTATTTTTTCATATTCTTAATTATAGCAATATCACTGAATAGATACCCAGCAAGTCAATACAGAATATATTGTTTAATAAATGTTGAAAATTTCACTTGTACAATGACTTACATTAACAACATACTGATAATTTGTTTAACTCTACTCCTCTCAAAGATTCCCTAATCAAAAATGCACATAAGAAATAATTACACAGAAAAGAAAACAAATTTTTACACCCACAGATGTGTTCCTAACATAGAAGTAAATTATAAAATGCAATAACAAAACAATTTTATCCACCATTCTTTTTCACTTCCAGATGAATTTACAACATTCTAGCAACATATAACTGATTTAATATTCTGATTAACATCTACCCTTATTAGTATAAATTAATCATGCTGCCTTTAAAATAGAACTTTAAAGTTATATAAATAACATCGAAGAATACTTAAATACTGAATTTGTATCTGTTTTATTGGGGTGCACCACCTGCATCTTTCATCAACAATTTTCCCATTATAGAGATATAAAATGTATCACATTTGTCAGCACACAGAAATATTTTTAAAAGAGCCTGTTTAGGAGTAGCAGTTTCTGTGTGTGGAGGAAGCATTTAGGGAATTCTAATTTCTAGTGGTCAAAATGGAAAGGAAATGCATGTTTTTGCTTCGACACAGTGATGCCACCTCTTCCTCCCCCTCTTTATTTGTGAATATGCAATAGTAAAATAATTTTTTTAAAAAAAT